TCTGACCCATAAAGACCCTTATAGAGTTTCCTAGGAGCAACTGGTGAGCTTCAGGTGCCAACCTTGTGGTTCAAATTTACTTTGCAGTCCAGCACATGAATCCACAATGCCAAACCGAGATTTCCTGCTGCATTTTCTGTGCCTTAGATGCCTTGTTTGGAAAAGCTGACGTCACATGTGGCACCACTTTATTAAGGAGCTATGTGATAAAGCGCTGGACCACAAGGTTGGTTTGAACCACAAGGTTAGCAGTTCAAACTCACCAGCAGCTCCTTGGAAACCCTATACAAGGCCACTATGAGTTGGAACAGACTCGATGGCACTTAACAACAGCAACAATAAGTCAACTATCAACCTCCATGAAATAATCTGCCTTTCTCTTAGGACGTACAGGACAGGACTGTTGTACAGAGAATTTGTTGGCAGCAATACTCTAGCCTTTAGCATGTCTTTAATCAAAGCAGTGATCTCCTTTTGTCTACCAAGTAACCTATGCTGATTCAAATTAACAATCTGAGTGGGTTCAGGCAATTCTAATCATTCTCATTAACGTGCCCAATAGATACTGGCCTAAGGACAGACTTACAAGCCTTCAATTTTACAGTATCAAGTAGAGGGAGTGTTCCCCAAGTAGACATGCAACCCTTAGCAATAATACATAACATCCATATCAACAAGGGAGATGCAACCACTTCTTACAAGATCTGTTTCATTCTTCTAAGTCTCCTCCACACTTTCCTTTGAGTCACACTAACTATTGCAGTCTCCTATGCCCTGAGATTAATACTATGCCTCTTCAAGACTGACAAATTTGGGGATTGCAGTACATTGGACTCCTGTGTCAAGGGGCCCCAGGAAAGTCTCTTTTCCACCTCACCCACATGTGTATATGACCTCTGGTCCCTTGTGGGGGGCTGGACCAGAAGACCCTAGCCCCCTCATCAGTACTTATATTGATCAACTAGCTGAGCCTCTGTTCCAAATGGTCCCAAGTAGAAATTTCCATCATTAAATTCCTCACAGATGGGTTGAATGGAAAGCACTTGTTTAGGCCTCTTTAACACTGGGGGATTAGCAGAAGTTTTCATTGGCCAACCTAACCTTCTATAATGCTGTATTAGGACGTTTGCATCAACTCCATCAATCTCATTTCTCAGTAACCATCTACAAAGCTCTGTCCTGTTTGGGTAACTTATTTACCATTTGCTTCTTCTCATTCTCCTATGAATTACCTTTATGTTTCTTACATATAAAACCTATGTGAGGAAGTTGTGCCAAGAAATACAACATAGATTCTGGGATTATCACTTTGTTTTACAGTAGTAAGGTTACATGGGGTGTCCATGTAAAGGTGCTAACTGAAGAAGTTGAGGGTTCAAACACACCAGGGAATCTATGACAAGATCTGGCTATCTGCTCCAAATCTGCTGCTACTGCTATGTCATAGAGTTGGTTCCAACTCATAACGACCATGTATAGGGTTTCCAAGGAACAACTGGTGAGTGAATCACCAACCTTGTGGTTTGCAGTCCAGTGCTAATCTTACAGTGTCACGCCAGGAGTACTTTAAAATTCCCTTAGTGGCCTCATTCACCCTAAAGAACAAGTGACCAAGAATTGAACAGAATTCTTTAATGTTGTAAAGTTTCTAGGAAGGAAGGCATAGCATCAGGTAGGAAGGGTTAACCACTAAAAGTAAATGTGGTTTATATAGGGTAGGTAGAGTAAGGGTGCAAGGGAGACAGTAGTGAATTTATCTATAAGAAGAAGGTGGTGGGGAGGATTAAGGAAAGATTTTGTAGAGGAGGTGATGTTTCGATTGATTGAGATGTTCTTGAACAGGTATGATAAAGAAGGGTATTGTAAAAAGAATATAGACTGTAAGCACAGGCTAAGAAGAAGGAGTTAAATAGCAAGGTTTATAACTAGTAAGGGTTTAAAAATGGTTGGAACAGAACCAGAAGCTCTGTGGAGAGAGATGAAACTGGGGAGGTTGAGTATCACCTTACTTTTTATTTTATTTTTGTAAATTGTATTTATTTTGATGAAAAAATACACAGGAAAACATATACCAATTAAACAAATTTCACATGTACAATTCAATTACACTGATTACATTCTTAAAGTTATACAAGCATTATTGCTATTCTTTTCCAAATTATTCCAACCCCATGAAAATAAACTTACTCTCCCCTATGTTCTCATCCAAACTTTTGAGCTGTTGACATTTAGGCCACATGGAGATGGTTCTTTAAAAGAGCACAGTGCTCAAAGAGGCCATTTTTTAGTGTGATTTTTATCAGAGTATTGTACATGCTTATGCAATCTCAATGTAAGATCCTGAATATTTCATTTTCATACTTTTATTAAAAGGCCAAACTTAACTCTTCTAAGTTGAAGTCTTCTTCAGCTGGTGAGAAACCAGTAACTTATGTTCCTCAATTTCCCCAAATACAATCCCGTTTTGCTGCTTTGTCTCTAGACACAGAATAGGTGAATTTTAATACATGCATGTATTATCCGTGGGAGAAAGATGAGGCTTTCTACTCCCGTAAAGATTTACACCCTCGGAAACCCTGTACAGGGTCGCTATGGGTCGGAACCTACTCGACGGCACTTAACAACAACAACAACATGTATTATCCCGCTACCTGTTTAGTTCTATTGTTTTGGAGCAGTCCTAAAAATAAAGAACTTAATATCAACTTTAGCAAAAAAAATGTGATGGTGGATTTCTAATAAAAAGTAAAATACGGATCACTGAAGGTTATAGATTATGAATTCGCTTTATCAATATTCAAAGCCTCTACTGACATTTTCAATATCCAAAACCATACCATAATTCACAACAAAAATTTACCATTTGTAAAAAAAAATTTAAAAACCTTGATCTTTTTATCCAGAAACACAAAACTTTTCTCACATAATAATTTTAACTCGCTTATTTAAAAATAATCGTAGGTTATAGCTACTCCATAATTTTTTAACATACTATCGACTGGATGGCACTTAACAATAACATATGTTCAAAGAGGAGCCTGGTGGCACAGCACAGTGGATAACTGATTCGTCAGAGGTTCAAACTCACCGGCTGCTTCCTTGGAGAAGGATATGGTAGTCAGTGTCTGTAAAGATTTACAATCCTGGAAGCCCTGTGGGGCAGTTCTACTCTGTCCTTTATAATTGCTCTGAGTTAGAATCAATTTGATGCCATGCGAAAGAAAGTAGCTATGCCCCAGGCTTCTAAATTATTGCAATTGTTATTTATTACTCAAACTTGTGTATGAATTTGTATAAAACCTACAAGTTTTAAGTATAGTTTTTTTTCAAATTTTCTTCATTAATTTACATTTTCTCTTTGGTTTTAGGCCATTGTCAATAGGATCCATATACAAAGCAAATAAATATATATCTGTATCTATGGCTATATTCAGGAGCTCTGGTAGCATAGTGGTTACGAATAGGGCTGCTAATGTCAGGGCCAGCAGTTCGAAACTACCAGGGGTTCCGCAGGGGGGGAAAAAAAAAAATGAGGCTTTCATCTCCCGTAAAGATTTATAGCCTCGGAAACCCTGTGCAGGGTCGCTATGAGTCAGAACCGACTCCACGGCACATAACAACAGCAACAACATAGCTGTATTCAAGGAGCTCTGATGGCGTAGTGGTTACGAAACGGGCTGCTAATCTCAAGGTCAGCAGTGTGAAACCACCAGAGGTTCCGCGGGAGAAAAATGAGGCTTTCTGCTTCTGGTAAAGATTATAGCCTCGGAAACCTTTTGCAGGGTCGCTATGAGTCGGAACCATCTCCACCGCACATAACCACCAACCAACCACCATATTTATAGTCACTATCCCCAAAAGAAAAACAAAACAAAAATACACACCAGGAAGAATTAAATATGAAGTAGCTTTAGATGGGCTTTGCAAAATTCTTTTCTTTAATTGCGGTAAACATGGAAGTGTAATTAAAATGCTTAGAAATAGGTTCATATTGTTTAGGCATGGCACTCATTGTTTATGCTGTAAATTCATGAAAATTGTGGTTTGAAAGAGCTTGTGTAGTTGTTGACACATGTATTATGTGCTTTTATAAATGTGCATTTTCTTTTTGCAGGGTATGTGGTCATGCTTATATATGTTATAGCATTTGAAATAATAAAATATCAATTTGAAAAGGATTAAGTAATATTGTAGTGATACTCTTCATATTACATCGTATTATGCTGGTGGCACTGCAGGATAAGCACTAGCTTGCTAACACTAGGTGGACAGTTCAAACCCACCAACACTTGTGTAAAACAAAGAAGAGGCTTTCTACTTCCATAAAGATTCACAGCCTTGGAAACCCAATACATGTTGCTATGAGTAGGAATGACTGACTCACCAGTACCTAACACAACAATAGTCTTTATGCAGTTAATAGGTTTCTGAAAGGTGTTGCAGTCGTAAAGTAAAAACAGTTGCATCCACTTATCTGTACAGAGAAAAACAGCAAAATTCTACATGCAAATTGCTTATTTTTCAAACAAACTCAAATTTAAATATTTGTATATTTTCAAGCATATGAAATCTTTTGCCTTCAGCAAAAGAGGGGGAAAAAGGGTTAAATAAAATACATATAAGAATTTCATTTCAACTGCACCAGATTTTGTACAAAAGTGGTACAAGGTAATGTTGACAATATCTTTTCAATAACTGAATGACATCACCTGCAAAGCCCAATGTTTTGAAAATTTATATTTACACCAAGTATATATATATTTTAAACTATTGTTCTGAGGTTTGTGAAAAATAAGCTGAATCTCCAGTTTCCCCCAAAGTATGTCTGGTATATGTGCTAACTTACTGAATTCATCCTTCATGCAATTTCAGTTTATTAAAGAGGTTAAAAATTTATAAAACTCTGATGGGATATGGTTTTAATGCTTCATCACACTACCCATCATTTGCTTTTCAATCTAGATCAGAATGATCTTTCCTACTTCCCTGCAATCACCTACCTGCACAGCTAATATTTTCTGAATGCTCTCTTGAGAGTCTGTCTGGAACTTGGCCAGCCTCATCTGGCTGTAGAGGGCCACCAGTTTGAAGTGCGTCTCCCATTCCTTCTGTATCCTTCTTTGCAGCTGACAGAACTAGAGAAAAGGGGGAGGAGGGCGAGAAACACAAATCAGAGTAGGAGAGGAAATTAATGGCAGTGTTCAAGAAGAATGATGGGGGGAAATATAGAAAGCAGTCAATAGCCCATTCTGCACTGTACGGACCTGACAGGAATTTCTCAGTCTCTTGATTTTTCAGCCCACTCATGTGCACTCACCAGAAACCAGTCACATCTGGCTGCCAGGATGGGGGGTTAATTTTCTCTAAATGCCTCAGCAGTTTTGTTCTAGCTGAGGCAAACTCTGTGACTGCAAAGCTGATGAGTAAAATATTTCTACTTCACCCAGTTTAACTCTAAACCGATAGCCTCGGGACATATTGAACCTCTCTTTTAAAAAAATAATCTTTTGAAGCCTTTTGAATGGCACATCGGGTCAAGTCAAAGTTTAAAATGCAACTTTAAGACTTTGATGGACACCACTGCTTCTTTTCCCTTTTTTTCCCCCTCATAAAGCTTACCATTGCTTGGCAATGTGTGCTTTAGAGCACGACAAAACTAAAGAGAATTAACTTAGCCATCAACTGCTGTGGGAGAACAATAGCAGGGAAGAAATTTCCAGCTAGAACTCCCTATTAATCTACCTCCCTGTGAACATGTGACATGGAAACATCTACGGCACTCAAATACAGCGGATGCAGTGCTTAGAAGTGGCATGTTTAATGCTGGATCTGCACAGAAAAAGAAAGCCTTCTCATTTGAGGCATTCTGTACCATTTAGCAAGTTTAATAAAACAATCAAACAAACACAAGCAATCAAACAAATCACAGTGGAAATTTTTTACATTTGCCCTTGGACATTTAGCATAGCTACACCTTATAGAATTGTTTTAATCTGATATTTTAAAAGGAATAAACTGCAAAAACTGGGAAAAACAATGCTCAAAAAAAAAAAAAATCAAAATGTTTACATATAGTATATGCTGACTACTTAAGTAGTTTATGCTTGTTGTAATGTGGATTATTGTTTATGCTGATTCCTTTTTAGTGTATTTTGCAAAATAAATTAGTAAAAAAATAAAACAAAACAGAACAAAAAACATTTCCTCATTTCAACTGCATTCATTCCATTTATTAATATGGGTGGTGGTTACACAGGAGGGTTAATTCAAAACATTCTTCAGACAGTGCAGGTATGATTTGTGAACTTTTTGTATGCATATTTCAAAATAACAATTTACTTTAAAATTACAGTCTTGATTACTTGGTGCTGCATGTGAATTGTTTATCAGGATTATCTCCATCATCTATGGTATTAAGCAGCAAATATATACATATTGCAATGAACAATGCATATATAGATTCCTTATAGATCCACTCCTCATTCCTCAAGTAACTATCAGGTTAGTTCCCAAAGAACAAGTCAGGATGCAAAAATCAGGCCCAGCAAATTTACATTAACCTTAGTCAGTACAGTGACTTCATACCTTAGAGTTTATTACTGCCAGACTTACATTGATAATGCTCAAAATAGTCCGTTACTTGATTTTCTAGTATTGTTGTAAGTGCATAGTGTCAGTTAACGGAATTGTTGATAGTAAAGAATAGGTGTACTTAGGTCAGTTTACAGAAAATATAAACCTTAACTCTTGGTTATTTTAGGAGGAAAATTTAACTTTGTAAACTATAGACATGCTAACTTAACTATTGAAGTACAGTATTAAGGATTCGTCTCTGAGAATTTCAGGTAATTTAAGATGCTGGATAAAAAATTAATAGGACTTTGAAATTATGTTAATCTTAATTTTTGTTCTGTCATATAAGCCAATTCTGAGAGTCAAAGTGTCAGTCATGATGTATATTTATAAATTGGAAAAAATATTAGTGTATTAGTTATGTTCAAGTTAGATGAAAGTCCAAATTAGAATGGTATATAATAATTTATATAATCACACAGATATATAAGTGTTTGAAATAGAATATACATATCTGGGTAACCACAAGGAAGAAGCAGGACAAGTGTTGTTGTATGGAGGGGACTGCAATCATTGAGCTGAAACAAAGCGTATGATTTATTGAATGTAAACTGATGATTTGCTTTGTAAACCTTCACTCAATTCACACACACACACACACACACACAATCATGGATTGCTAGAAGAACAAACAAATTTGTGTTGGAAGATGAATAGACAGAATGCTCTTTAGAATTTAGGACAGTGAGACTTTGTTTCTCATATTTTGGACATATTATCAGGAGATCTGTCCCTTGAGAAAGACTTCATATTTGCTAAAGTGGAAGGTCAGTGAAAAAGAGAGAGACCCCCAACAGATTGATTGGCACAGTGGTAAGTAGCTAGGGGCTCAAGTACAACAATTGTGAGGATGGTACAGTACGTGCAGTGTTTCATTATATTGTGCATAGGGTCACTATGAGCCAGAACTGTCCCAACTGCACCTTACAGTAACAATAAAGGGTCAGCAATCAAGAGGAAGACCCTTAATAAAAAATAAAATTAACATTAAAAAAATTTTAAAGCTGTATATATTGTATAAGGGGCTATCAAAGACACCAGGGCATGACACACAAGAGTTAATATTGACCCTGTATTATCTGATATATGCCACAGTGGTTTAAATGATCTTAATTAAATTCTGTTAAAGAATTAAATGCATAACAAAGTGATAATTAAAGTGTTATGGTTAGGTGCCATCGAGTCAGTTCCAATTCATGGAGGTTCTGTTCTCCTATGCACAATAGAATGAAACACAACCTGGTCCTGCATCATCCTCAAAATGGTTGTCAGGTGTGAGACTCTTGCTGCTTCCTGGGTGTCAATCCATCTCATTCGGAGTGGGGGGGGGTGTCATTTTTTCGTTGACCCTTCACTTAGCCAAGTATGGTCCTTCTCCAGGATCCAGGAACTGGTCCCTCCTGACGATATTTCAGCCTTGCTTCTAATGTTATTCAAATAGATGCATTTGTTCTTCTGGCATCCATGGTACTATCAATATTCTTCACCAATGCCATAATTCAAGTGCATCAAATTCTGTGGTTTTCCTTATTCATTGTCCAATTTTCACATGTATATAGGGTGATTGAAACTACCATGGCTTTAGTCAGTCCTCAAACTGACCTCTCTGCTCTTAAACGCTTTGATAAGGCCAATGGCAGCACATTTGCCTAATGCAATATGTCTTTCCTTTCTTTACTGTTGTTTCCATAAATGTTGGTTGTAGATCCAAATACAATGCAGTTTTGTTTTTTTTGTTTTTTTACAATTTCAGCGTTATCTACATTTATTATTATATCATTTATTGCTCCAGTTGTGAGCAATCCATACTGAAGACTATAGTTTTTGATCTTCACCAATAAGTGTTTCAAGTCCTTTTCACTTCCAACAATCAGGGATGTGTCATCTGTATATCGCAGGTTGTTAATAAGCCTTTCTTCACTCGTGATGTTACCATATTCTTCTCCATGTAATCCAGTTTCTTGGATTATTTGCTCAGCATACAGATTGAACAATTGTGAAGATAAGATACAACCCTGGCAAACACATTTCATGGTTTTAAACCATTCAGTATCCTTTTGTTCTTTTCAAACAACTGCCTTTTGTTTTATGTGTAGGTTCCTCATGAGCACAATGAAGTGTTCTTGAATACTCATTCTTCGCAATGCTATCCATGGTTTGTTATGATCCACATAGTTGAATGCCTTTGCATAGTCAATAAAGCACAAGTAAACATTTTTCTGGTACTCTTTGCTTTTAGCCAAGTTCCATCTGCTGTCAGGAATGATAACCCTCATTCCCATTCTTCTTCTGCATCCTGCTTGACTTTCTGGAAATTACTTGTTGGTATACTGCTGCATTCGGTTTTTGAATTATCTTCAGCAAAAATTTACTGGCATGTGATATTAATGATATTATTCTATGACTTACTCATTCTGTTGGGTCATCAATTTTTGGGATGGGCACAAATTTCTTGGTATAGATGAGTGAGCACCTCCAGGACTGCATCAGTTATTTTAAACACTTTAATTTGCATTCTATCAATACCATGTTTAAATTAAATAGCTGTCAATTATTGTGCACATGACTCATTTGTAAAGCTAGTTTATACTTAGATTACATTCAGTCTGGGCTTGTTGAGGTAGGTTATCTTTTTAACTCCAAGGGAAAGTTGAGAAAACTAGAAATTAAGAGGTTAACTTCTTTTAATTTATATAGATCTGTCTGATTTAAAGTTCATATTCTTAACCATAATTTCATAATACTGATTTGATTCTAGTGACTTTTCTCTTTTTCGCTCTGATATTTTACCAGTCACTTCTGGATCAAGATTGGCTTTAAGGACTTCTTAGAAATACCCAAGGGTTCTGTAGATTATGGTCACAGAGCTTCCTGAGAAGTAGAATGCAATGCAAAATGAATGTCTGTTTATCCTTGTTAAGTTTTGGTAAGAAATACATGATTAGATATTATCCATTTATGCTTCAAAATTATTGTCAGCTCCATAGGCAAATTGGAAATTTCAATATAAAAGCAAATGGAAACCTATTTAGTACAGAAACTAAATAATAGATAATCAGATAATAAAAGCTCATAGTAATAAATCAGAAACAACTGATTTAAAAATAATGGCTGTGGGATATACTTTTAAAAGTCTCATTTCATGATATACATCTCAGTGAAATCTTGTTAGCAAAATGCTACTTTTAGCTTTTTGAAAATTATTCCCATTTCAATGCAATGGTTATTTGGCATTTACTTGGCTCTCAGGAGATCCAATTTGTCCAAAATCCTAGGACACTCAGAAATACTTCATGAACATATATTTATCTGCCAATGTAACTAACAAATTAATACTATGGTTAGAGAATATAGATGTCATTTTTAAGACTATTTTACACCTGATGCCACCCATGGTATTTTCAATAGCTTCATACATTTGGGAAAACTAGACAATGAATAAGGAAAACTGAAGAACTGATGCCTTTTAGTTATGGTGTTGGTAAAAAAAAAAAATATTGAA